ACGTTATATATACTGTCACTATATATTTCATACATTAACGGTATATCACACAATGCTTCTGAAATATACGCATGAATGGATATATATTTATACCTCAATAAATCACAATATATGAAAAATATTCGCGTGTATATTTTTTTTGTATGAAACTTTATAAAATATCAACTTTTTTCTGTATTATCTTCTGTCACTTAATTGATGATATTTTTTTCCATAATTAAACTTTTTTTTATATATTAAGTAACAAAAAATTCTTTCCAGTGTCTGTGTATATCAGTAGACAATTTATACCTAACCTAACCTAACCAATCTCTACCTGCCTGTATGTTAATTAAAGCCTCGTCACCTGGACATTATGGCTTCACTAAAACCAACAATATTACAATACAGTTTCTTTTCCTCAGTTCAAATACCTGAACCATTACTGTTACAGGATTATCCACACTTTGCACACGCTAACATCCTGTCCTCCCTACATATAACATTGGTTATAATCTCTCGCCCCCCCGCACAGTGAGGTGGTGCAGGGGGCCCACACCTGGGAGAGGGAGGGGCACGTTCCGGGTACTCCTTGGTGGACGGGAGGGGACGGGAGGGCACGTGGATGCCCCACCGTAATGTCAACCGTTTTCCCCAGCGACCACCATGGGCACACAATGGCACGTGTGTGGGGAGGGGTGGGGGGGAGGGGGTGTGTGTGTGAAGGGCGAGGGAGTATTGTGTGTTGGGGGGACGAGGAGGGGTATTGTTTAGGGGAGAAGTTGTGTGGGGGTGGGATAGGTAGGGGTGGGGACTGAAGGAGGTGTGGCAGAGTGGTGTGTTATGGGGGGTAGAGGTTGGGGGTATGTGTGGATGAAGCGGGGTAGTGGGGGGGTGGTGAGGGGGGGGTCAATGGAGTAGGGTGGAGGTGAGGGAGATGGGAAGGGGAAGTTGTGGAGCGAGGTGGAAGAGATGTGGTTGGTAGGGGGAAGGGGGAAGTGTGGTAGGGGTAAGTAAAGGGAGAGGTCAAAGGGGAGGAGAGTGGAGGGGGATTTGTATAGGGGAGCCGATCATCAACAAGCCATTCACAACAACTAACCCCCATACAATCACCAGGTCACACCACAGGACCCGGACACCACCACTAGGTCAGACCACAGGGCCCGGGAACCACCACTAGGTCACACCATAGGACCCAGACACAACCAGGTCACACCACAGAACCCGGGCACCACCACCAGGTCACACCAAAGGACCCAGACACAACCAGGTCACACCACAAGACCCGGGAACCACCACCAGGTCACACCACAGGACCCAGACACAACCAGGTCACACCACAAGACCCGGGAACCACCACCAGGTCACATCACAAGACCCGGGAACCACCACCAGGTCACACCACAGGATCCGGGAATAAAAGGAGCTGTCTAGTTATCTTAGCGTCTCAGGGTAATTCGGACGCCATATTGGCCGCCATCTCTCAAGTCTGTGCTCCAACGAGACAGTTCAACTCGTCCTCACATGCTAATAAGACGAAGATATATTCTACAAGACCCTGACACCCCAGACCGGGATCATTTAGGGTTCGGACGATGAATCTTACTCATAAATGGAGATGTAAGGCAGAGGCTTCCTTCAGGTACAACACGAAATTTACCTCCAAAATGGCACCACATTACACCAAGACTCGACATTTTCTCTTAGCACCAGTGAGGGACAACATTAACCTACATAATCTTCGTGAACCCGGGACAGTACAGTGTGTTGTTGGTACGACCGGCCCAGACTGGGACGGACGTGTTGTATTAAAAGCTGTAGTCCCAGTAAGGCTCAACATTAGCAAAGACGACCCGGTGATATTTGGAATGGAGGACCGTGGTTGCCAACCCTCAGACAAGAAGATGGAATCTTAACTGACTGACTGACTGACTGATTGACGACCGATTGACTTCCTGCTCCTGGAAAAGTGGACGATGAGTGGGTGTAGAGTGTGACAAGCTCACACCACACGACACAACTAGCGGTCTGTGTGGGTGTCATCAACCAACATCCAATCTATGAACTAGGGGTCGATGTAGGGTGTTGTGAGCCCACACCACAACATAGAACTAGCGAACTAGCGGCCGGAACGACTAGCACGTGGCAGCGCAGTACTTATGTGTCCTGGGGGATCACGTCGACCTTTTGTCAATCACAATCGCTATGATATTCTTTATAATCACACGAGCGTGGGCTGGCCTGGTGGGCACTAAGGGCGGCGATAAGCTCCCTCCGCCCGCCGACTTTCACCCTTCCAGGTCACCCGATGAGAACGTGGCGCCCCGAAATGCGACATATTCTTTGTGACCAAATGCCCGTAATGGCCGGCCGTAGGGATGTTTTCACGTGGTTTTTCCCTCCTCGTCCTGAACAAAGATGGACCTTACAGACGCGGAAGGTCTCTGAGTCCTCCTGTAAGGGCGGCTTTCCTGTGGATTCCTCGTGGGGTGGTGGGCCTTACCGACATGTAGGTGTATGGAAGCTCTCATAAGGATGATTTTTCAAAGTTAATACAGTTGGACACTGGACTTTACTGACTTAGGGGTGTAGGGGGTGTCTGTAGGGGTGTTTCTCCCGTGGGGTGGCCGCGGGGAGGTGGACGCTACCGTGGTGGGGGTGTCCGGGACTCTCATGCCTGGTTGATTACCGCTTGACAAACTGTTTATTCTCGGGATTAGTGGGATTGGGCGGCTCCCACGCTCACAATCACAGCCAATAGTTTTTTTCTTCTTTTTTAATCTGAACTGTTACTGTAGCGATGAACGGACAGGCAGTCAGTCGGACACACACGACGGACATGAGCAATAACGACACGTGCATCGTCGGACACGTTCATCGACGGACACGTGCATCGACGGTGACGTGCATCATCGGACACGTGCATCATGGATACGTGCATCGGCGGTCACAGAGACAGACGGAAATACACATCGACGAAATTACGAATGGTCAGACACACGACCCAGTGGATGTCTCATCAACTAATGTGTCCGACGTGTGCTTAATATTTATCACCATCAAGAACACGTGTCACCATCATGCTCCTGTGTCACCATTACGCCCATGTGTCACCATTACGCACATGTGTCACCATCATACTTAACAAGACGCAAACAGCTACGGCTTGTTAGCAAGTCGACACAGGCTGACAGGGAGAATGGCCCCGTAGAACTTACATTACAAAGGTTCAAATCCATCCACTCTCTATTACTGTTCTTGCTTCATTTTCACACACCCACTCATACAGCCACTCACTCAACTTACCCACACTCTCACTCACTCGCCGACACACTCACTCACACTTTTTCACATTATCACCTATTCTAACAAACAAACAAACAAACAAACAAACTCTCTCTCTCTCTCTACGAAAGTTTTTGTGAGAGGCAGGAAATACTCAGGCTGTCACACCACCCAGAGAGAGAGAGAGAGAGAGAGAGAGAGAGAGAGAGAGAGAGAGAGAGAGAGAGAGAGAGCATAACAGCCACTCTATGCCCTGCGCTGATCAAGGCACAACACAAGTAAGGCGTTTGTGTCAGTGGTGGTGGGGAGGAAGGGGGTGTGTCGGGCAACTTGCAAGCGTTTGGGGGGGAAGACGAAGGGAGGGGATCGAATGGAGGTAGTGAAGGGAGGGGGTTAACGGAGGGCCTAGATAAGGGGTTGAAGGGACGGGTGACGGGAAGGTCGAGGGAGGGGTGATGAGAAGGTCGAAGGAAGGGTTGGGGAAAATGCCGAAGGGTGTATCGGAGGGAAGGGTGAGGCAGGTTGAGTAAGGAAGGGGAGGGCCGTGGGTGGGGGGAGGGGTGAGAGTAGCTGGCTGGCCGAGTGAGGGGAGGGCGGCCGGCCGAGGGGACACACTGTATACTTTGTAAGGGGAGCCGTGAACGCACCTCTTCACACCGAGGTAATTAAACGCGTGTAGGAGGGCGTTTTGAAAACTTATGCCAGACAGAGCCAATCAGATCTCCCCCGGACGACCCAGAACCCATGTTGGCCAGAGTGATCTATTCAACCCGCACGCTCACCACGCTAGGATGGCCAGGATGATGTTACCCTGTGAGAGAGGCAGGATGCTGGGGAAACACTTGGATACTTAGGACGTTGTAGGATACTGACAATGGCAGGATGTTTTGGAAAGATAGGATGAAGATGGTAGTAAATTGAGAGCTGCAGGATGCTGGGAAAAGGTAGAATGATGAGGAATGTTATAAGTTGTTGATGGCGGTGTAGGATGCTAGGGGCGTTAGATAGACTTAGTTGTATATGTGAGGTTAGCTTAGGTTAATTAAGGTAAGGTAAGGTAAGGTAAGGTAAGGTAAGGTAAGGTAAGGTAGGGTAATGAAATACGAGGTTAGGTTAGGTTAGGTTAAAGAGACTAAAATGAGAACACAGCCAATACTTGAGTCATTACATATCTTGACCGTAATGTACACAGAACAAATATGTACACACTGACTCTCTGTACACACGTTCATGTAACACAACCCGACCACTGAACCCTAACTGCTGTAATAATTTTATTTTACCTTCTGTACTCGTGTATGCTGTACCGGTGATTGTACTGCTGTATGTTAACTAATAAGAGATTGAAATAGATCGTGTAAGGCCCATAACAAGAGACGGTGACGGAGGGAGGGGATGGGGGGGGAGGGAAGGGGTGGGGTGGGGGGGAGAGGGAGGGGAGGGATGGGGAGGATGGGAGGGGGAGGGGTGGGTCGGGGTGGGAGGGTGGGTCAGGGGTGGGGGAGGTGGTCGGGGTCGGTGGGGGTGGGGGGAAGGGGTCGGGTGGGGCAGGGGGTAGGGGAAGGGGTGGGGGAGAGGAGGGGGTGGGGGGTTGTCAGTGATATATTTCAGTTGGTGTTTGTCTTGGTGCCCCCCCCCCCTCCACAATAAATAAATCCTCTTATTCACCGTCCCAGTCTGATCTACACACACATCTCTACGTCACTGTGACCCGTATATAGTCTACAGAAGCCGCAATGTTGCCTCCGATGTGCGCGCGCAAACTGCAGAAGGTAAACACTGAATATCGTCTATTTATACCACGGAGGACAAGAGCATACGATTAAAAAAATAATAATGATAATAATAAAAAGCAAGGATAAAAGAGGCAAGGAACAGAGACGAAAATAGATGAATACATGAAGAGAAGGAATAAGAAATCAAAACAAACAAGAAGGTTGTAAACAGAGAACAGACAAGAGGTGGTCAACCAACACGACGACACATAAACACCTGTCAGCTGTACATTACCAGATCACAGGTGACTACAACACTGAACACACCACCACCAACTCCTCCTCTTCCTCTTTCTCCTCCTCCTCCACCCCCCTGTCCTCCCCTTCCTCCTTGGCCGACAATTAACGCTTTGGTCTGCCTAAAACTCCAACCCTGGGAATCGATTCTCAAAAAGGTATTACGGTAACATCTCAACTACCCCCCCTCCCCCCCACACACACACACACTCATGGCTATACCCGCTAGGAACCAAGACACTCGGTATACTGAGCCTCGGTACACAAGGAGGTACAGTAAGTGTGGCCGGTACTGTACTCGGTCGCTTTCACTTCACCAACTAGTAAATTGTGCACTCAAATACAGCGAGTTGAACTGGGAGTGCCTTGGGATCGAACCAGCTACCCTTGAAACAAAAGGCGAGTGATATATCTACTCGGCCGCCGCACCTCACCCGGTTAAAAGGCAAGACTAACCATCCTAACCTTACAGAATCCAAACTACTGTTGTGTCAGAGTACAAAATAATGAACCAGTTAGACGAGTTCTGACACAACCAGTTACTATATAAAAAAAAATATAATAATAATAACTCACGAACTTCCGAGACTCTTGAAACGCTAAGCTTATGTCGAAGTTCAAGTTAGAAAGTCAAGATATATTTTCACATCCACAGTTGGAATGGAAAAAAAAAAACCTTGACGTAGGAACCTAGGAGACTTAAAGCCCCCAGCCAGCACTACATCTTCCTCTAATGCTGGCTGGACCCACAAAAACACACGGGCCTCCTTGATTCGCCCATTCACATGCAAAACCTAATCCTCTTCCCTGGACAAAACTCCTACATTTTCTGACCCCAATCAATCTCACTTCATTACAAAGCTTTACACCAGGATCACTCATTACCATCTTAAAGCAGCTTCAAGTCGGTCGGAAATCTCCCTCTCCTCTGCTCATCGCACTTCTCCTACTTCTACTCCTCTCCTACTCCTCCACAACACCACCCTCACCATCCACTCCTCCCCAACACCACCACCATCTTCTTCTCTCCAACACCTCCATCTCCTCCCCTTTCCATCTCTCCCACTTCTTCATCCCCTTTACCATCTACACCCCTCTTCATCTTACTACCCCATCACTTCACCTCATCCTCACCATCCCCTATCCCTCACCCACCATCATCCCCTATCCCTCACCCATCCCTAACCAACTCCCTCCTATACCCCTCACCCCCCCTTTTTACCCCAACCCATTCATCCTCCTCCCCCTATAACCCCCCACTCCCCACCCCCCAGCAGTCATCCAGTTGCAGTCTTAAAGAAACACATGTTAAATGGGTTATCTCTGAGAGACAGAGATGAGAGGAAGATGGAAATGGAAGGAGAGGAAAGGAGAAAGAGAGATAGAAGGAGAGAAAAAGTATGAATAGAATAAATTAGGGCCAGGGAGATGGAAAGAGAGGTGAAGAAAATATTGATAATGAGGAAGAGGAGAATATGGAATTAGTAAGAGATGAAGGAGATGGAAGGAGTGATGAGGAGAATAGAGAGAGTGAGGGTGAGAGAGGGAGAGAAGAGGACCTTAAGATGTATTTAAATAGGGAGATGATAAACAGGGAGGACTGTATCTTCAAATGTCCATAAATAGGGAGAATAGAGCGAATATGGCCCTAGGACGTTTACAGTTAGGGAGAATTGGACTAAAGGCTTCTAAAAATAGGGAGAAGCGAGCGTAAGGACTTCTATAAATAGGACAGAGACGTTTATAAATAGGAAGTGAAGAGCCTAAGGCGTTTATAAATAGGGAGGCGGACGTAAATTGTCTCAAAATAGGAAAAATCATATCTGAATGTCTAGAAATAGGGAGAATACCTGAATGTCTAAAAATAGGGAGGAATATTTTTCATATTTTCTAAAAATAGAGAACAGCGACTTGAGAATCACCTCTCTCTCCCAAGACACCGCCAGTGACGTCACCGTGTTGTGGTGTGACGCCATAACACGCCTCTGTCTCTGGCGGCAAGAATAAAGGGGGGTGTAGCCCTTCTCTGGCGACAAGTACACACACCAAACACACTAACTCATACACACGTACACACAGGCACAGATACACACACTCACACACGCACGATCCATTGACTGACTGACTGACTGACTGACTGAGCCTACGCATAAACACACCGCCAGATTGTTGAGAAAAATTAATCATTCGTTCGTAACAAAAATAAGCAAGAGAAACAATGGCCTGACGAGGGAGCCTAAGGAAGTAGTAACCTTACACAATGAGACGGTGAGGTGAGCTACCTGTACACCTTCCCTCTACACAGTAATTAACCTGTCTGCCCCCCCCAAAAAAAACACAAAAATAAAGTCAAAAAACAAAAGACTTCCTGGTTATATCAAACAAAAGCTCGTTACCATTCCCGACTTTAACCTCAGCCAGTGACCTCTCTCTTATAAGATAAACACCTCACGTGGAGATAGATACCTTTGACGATTACTGGACCATTCTTAAAACACAAGACAGTCACGTACCGAGCCATTACGACGCAGTTGGAGGGCGACACCAACCACCACTACCCCCACAGGACTACACCCACCACAAGGACTACCCCCACCAAGGACCCCACCATAAGGACTACCTCCACCACAAGGACTACCCCCACCATAAGGACTACCCCACCATAAGGACTACCTCCACCACAAGGACTACCCCACCATAAGGACTACCCCCACCACAAGGACTACCCCCACCACAAGGACTACCCCACCATAAGGACTACCTCCACCACAAGGACTACCCCACCATAAGGACTACCCCCACAAGGACTACCTACCTACCCCACCAGGACTACCCCACCCCCCACAAGGACTACCCCCACCATAAGGACTACCCCACCACAAGGACTACCCCCACCACAAGGACTACTCCACCACAAGGACTACCCCCACATGGGACTACCACCACAAGGACTACCGCACCACAAGACTACCCTACTACACCACAAGGACTACCCACCACAAGGACTACCACCACACCACCACAAGGACTACCCACCAGGACTACCCCCACCACAAGGACTACCCCGCACCACAAGAACTACCCCCACCACAAGGACTACCGCACCACAAGGACTACCCCCACCAAGGACTACACCACAAGGACTACCCCCACCAGGACTCCCCCCACCACAAGGACCACCACCACAGACCACAAGGACTACCCGCACCACAAGGACTACCCCCCCACCAAGGACTACCCCACCACAAGGACTACCCACCACAAGGACTACCCCACCACAAGGACTACCACCACGGGCCCCCCACCACAAGGACTACCCCACCACAAGGACTACCCCACCACAAGGACTACCAAGGACTACCCCACCACAAGGACTACCCCCACAAGGACTACCCCCACCTACCCCCACCACAAGGACTACTCCCCCCACAAGGACTACCCCCACCACAAGGACCCCCACCACAAGGACTACCCCACCACAAGGACTACCCCACCACAAGGACCCCCACCACAGGACCCCACCACAAGGACTACCCCCACCACAAGGACCACCCCCCACCACAAGGACTACCCCCACAAGGACTACCCCCACCACAAGGACTCCCCACCACAAGGACTACAAGGACTACCCCACCACAAGGACTACTGGACCTCTCCCCACCACAAGGACTACCCCCACCACAAGGACTACCCACAAGGAGGACTACCTCCACCACAAGGACCCCACCACAAGGACTACCCCACCACAAGGACTACCCCCACCACAAGGAATACCCCCACAAAGACCATCCCCACCACCCCACCTGACTCGACCCCAACAAGCTATATGTTTACAAGGGTGAGGTCTGAGTTATCAATGCTAGGGGGAATAAAGTCGTCATCCCTAAGAGTGAGTCTGACTTCACTAGTTTGTTTACTGTGGACGACTACACACCATCACCTTCCTTACTACATCCTTGTAATATGCTCATATCTTCTTGTCCTCCTCCTGTTTTCTTTTCCCCTGTTGGTCCTACTTCTTTTCCCCCTCCTTTTCCCCCTCCTCCTCCCTCCTCCCCTTCTTCTTCTTCTACTTTTTCTTCTCTTCCATCTTCTTCTCCTTCCCCCTTCCTCCTCCTCCTACTCACCCACCCCTAAACAAGCCTGACCCTACCGACCTGTACCACACTTAACCTCTAACAGATAAAACCTTTAATGTGTTTCTTTCTTCACCAACAGCCATTTATCACCGAGTAATTTGGGTACTGTAATCAATGGCTCCTCACACTAACCTAACCCTAACCTAACCTAACCCTAACCTAACCCTAACCTAACCCCAACCTAACCTAACATTTACCTAACCTTTACCTAACTTAACATAACCTAAATATAAGATGGCAAGCAGGAACTTCTCGTATTTCCCGTGTGGGCGTCTGTATTACCATGAGCTTCACCCTGCACTGGATACAAGGTGGGAGGGGCAATACAGCAACCTCCTCTACCCTATTCGCTAGTTTACATTTGTATTCATCTATCCGCCCTAACACCCACCCAGACGACGTCACACTAAAACAAGTCAGTTTTCACGTGGTGGAGGAACAAAATGCTCTGTACAATAATTATTACCTTCAAACACAATAAACGTAGTTGTTTAAGGGATGTGATGTTATGGTTGTGACATTTTACTGTGTGTACTGTCGACTGTGTTATAACAACGGGTCACTAATGAAAGGAAAACTAACTAAAAATTTAATCCAAGTAAGAAATATATAATTCCCAGCAGGTAGTGAGGCGACGTGTACACTCCCAGCAGGTGAGGACGTTACCTGTACACTCCCAGCAGGTGAGGACGTTACCTGTACACTCCCAGCAGGTGAGGACGTTACCTGTACACTCCCAGCAGGTGAGGACGTTACCTGTACACTCCCAGCAGGTGAGGACGTTACCTGTACATCTAAGACAACAGGAACAACATACACACTGGCCAGCAGGTAGGAGCAGCTGACGGTAGGCGGGGCGACACAAGACCCCAGTTTAAATACGGAGGGATTTGTGTGTTAGGAGAAATACAATAGTTTGCTGGGCACTCCCCTCCTGCGGCCACAAGCCTCTTTACCCCACAGGGTGAGTGAGAGGCCAAGGGTCGCCCCGCCACGCGTGTTGCCACAGTAAGGGGACACCGCGCCCGCCCCTCCTCTCCACCCCTCCCCTCTGACCACCAAGGGGTCAGGACACTTCCCCTCAACTCTCCCTCTCTTTCCTCACTACTAAGGGGGTCTGGAGTCAGTGCACGCTACTCCTCTCCTTCCCCTTCACTACTAAGGGGTCAGGTTATCTCCCCTTACCTCTCTCCTATTCCTATGTCCCCCTTTTCATATCTGTCTAACTCTCACAGCCAGAACTAGGGAGCTGGACCTCTCCCCTTACTATCCTCATGTTACTCTCCCCACACACTCCCCTTATCTCCCCTATTACGCTCATCCCACTCCTCTTTCATTCTAGGTGTGAGAACTCCCCACACTCCTCTCACCTCCCTCTCATCTCCTCACTGTCGCTTCTTCCCTCATATCTAGGACACAGACTCTCCCCCCTCCCCTATTCTGCTCTCCTCCCCTCACCACCTAAGGGCTACACCTCCCCTTTTACTCACCTCTCCCTTGGAAAGATCGAAAGCAGAGAGAGAGAGAGAGAGAGAGAGAGAGAGAGCTCAGGTTCCCCCTCCTCCACTCACCCCCGTCCCTCCCCGACACACCTCTCTTCTCTCACCCACACCAACCCTCCATCACCCACGCCCACTAACCTCTCCCCTGCATCATCTCCCCCCTTCCCCTCCAGAGTCAACAATGGCTACCACTAGTTAGTGTCCACATAATCTGATTCCTCACTGAGAGAGGGAGAGAGGGAGGTGACTGGAAGGAGGGAGGGGACTCGCTGGAAAGAGGCATAGGGAGACTCAGGGTGATGGCAGAGAGGAGGACTCAGGGGGAAGGCAGAGAGGGGGGAGAAGGGGTAGAAAGGGGGAGTCTCCTAGCTGTCCCCTCACCTCACTAATCACAAGAGGATAACAATTAAATGGGAGATATCTGACTATAGGGAATACATATAAATTAAAAGGTATCTCCCTGAATCCCCCCTCTCTCTCTCTCTCTCTCTCTCTCTCTCTCTCTCTCTCTATCTCTATCTCTCTCTCTTTTTATCTCTTATCTCCCATATGTCATATCTTTCTCTCTCTGGTTTCTATCACATTTTCTTCCACACCTAAAGATTACCATCACTTGTTTGTATGTCCAGTCAGGAGAGAGAGAGAGAGAGAGAGAGAGAGAGAGAGAGAGAGAGAGAGAGAGACTTATCACTAGGTATAAAACTAGTAGTATGGTAAGGAGTGGTCGTATTTATTTACCAAATCTTCTTAGGATTGATCGCGAGGCGTCAGTGGTGGTGGTGGTTGTGACGACTTGTACTACTATAAGGCTAGGTTAAGTTAGGTTAGGTTAGGTTAGGCTAGGTTAGGTTAGGTTAGGAATCTAATCAAGTTTCATCCTTCACAGAGATAAACTGGATAAGGCTGGAGTAATCTGTATTTTGTTTTCCTTTTTGCATTGAAGTTTGGTCGTCATGGCAACTTGCAACCAAAAGCTAGTGTAGATTATAATAGCAACTTGCAACCAAAAGCTAGTGTAGATTCCAATGGCAACTAGCAACCCAAAAAACTAATATATAGATTTCAATATGTCACGTCAACTAGCTTCCAAAATTTAATGTCGCCATCATTACGTGTCACGATGCTGGTGAGTGTGTGTGTGTGTGTGTGTGTGTGTGTGTGTGTGTGTGTGTGTGTGTGTGTGTGTGTGTGTGTGTGTGTGTGTGTGTGTGTGTGTGTCCTACCTTAATGACCTAGTAGACCAGGTGTGGGTACTAGAAGGTAAACAGCTCACAACTCCCACGTGCAACACAAGACAGGATTACTCCTTAGTGGTCGGTAGGGCGAACTGGGTGATGGGTACTAGTGGGTGATGGGTACTAGTGGGTGATGGGTACTAGTGGGTGATGGGTACTAGTGGGTGATGGGTACTAGTGGGTGATGGGTACTAGTGGGTGATGGGTACTAGTGGGTGATGGGGGTAGCATAAGCCGTAGTAGCACAATAAAACACAACACAGCATAGACGAAATTCTTATATGATAAACAAAATGGTTAGGTTAGATTAGGTTAGGTTAGATTAGGTTAGTTTCATTTGTCTTTGTATTTCCACCAGGTCAGCTCCCTTACCACATCAACACCTCGTCAACAGCCAGAGTTACGCCAACACAGTCACAAGTCTCACGGCAGGTCCTGTCATGGGTACATTTCAAAGTGAGTTTGCGACGTCACACTCCGTGAATTATTTGGCAGTATGACGTTTTCATGACGTCATGGTGACGTAGCCCTCTTCCCCTCACCCGCCTCCCTCCCCTCACCGACCTGCCATTCATCGAGAGCGAGGTAGTTATCACAGAAAACGGACTTCTCCCCTCCCACACCCTCCCTCACATCCACCGCCCTTCTCCCCTCCCTCCACCAACCCTCTCTCGCCCCGCCTCCCTCATCCACCCATCCACCCACACAGTCATATCCATCCATTTCCCATCCACTTATTCCTCTCCCTCATCCACCAAATCCTGTCCCCTCATCCAGATCGCCCTCTTCTACACCCTCACTCCCCTCTTTCTCCCCCTAATCCCACATCTATCTCTTATACTACCCCTCTAACCACCACCACCACCACCTCCCCTTACCTAAACTACCTACCCTTCTCTCCTCTCGTCCATCACCTCCCTCCCTCACCACCTAACACCCTCCCCCTCTCTCCCCTAAACAAACTCCTGATCACAAACTACCCCCACTAGCCAAACATCCATCCTTCCTTCCCCTTAACTAACCATACCTCCCCCTAACTAACCATACCTCCCCCTAACTAACCATACCTCCCCCAAACTAACCATATCTTCCCCTTCTAACACGACAAAAACTCACATATACACAAAAGTTGATAAACAATAATAAGAATAAACTGGGGATTGTGTACACGTATAGAGTCATCCTCCACCTGTTGTAGTTTCGTTCTGGGTCGTGTTAAGTCAGCCTCTACTAACCCGCCTCTACTGACCTGACTGATATTGCTCACCGTCGTAAAATAAGATGAGTGATGTGTTGCTGGTAACGATGGATTATGAAGTTTAAAGTGAAATAAGTTATGGACGATGACGACAATGATGACGACGCCTATGATGACTATGACGACGACAATGATGACGATGACAATGACAACGCTGCCTGAGGTATAGCATTACTACATGAAGTTCAGCTAAAAACACAAATATTCCTTTATATATATTGTGTATATATCTCTATACCATAAACGAAGGAGGTGACACAACAATAATTTAAACTAAAAATAAAGAACACAAACGAATGACCAAATGAAGAGAGAAAAAAAAAATTGAGAGAAAAACGCGGAAACAAAGTGTGGAAAAAAAGTTGTTTTATTGGTGTGGTCGGTAGAGGCGGTGTGTCGGGTGGGACAAACAAGACGGGGTGTATAAAATGCCTGTAGAATATCCTGCCACCTGGAAAACGTTGCTGGAACCTCTCCTCACCCACCTACCACAACACAACACCTCCCCTCACCCACCTACCACAACACAACACCTCCCCTCACCCACCTACCACAGCACAACACCTCCCCTCACCCACCTAGCACAACACCTCCCCTCACCCACCTACCACAGCACAACACCTCCCCTCACCCACCTACCACCCACCCATCATTAACATAACACCTCCCTCACCCACCTACCATAGCACAACACCTCCCCACCC